ATATATATATATATAATTTAATATGTTTCAAAAGAAGGACTTTAAACCCATGTTTTCCAAGAGTCAACTGTGCTTATTCCAAAGTGTTGATCTAAGTATCCAATTAGGTGTGGTGTGCAAAAATCATTTCTAAGTTCTAAATGAATCTTTTATTAAACTGGGCTTCATTCACTGAGGAAACATATCAATGAAGGATTTTGTTAGATTGAATTTAAATTAGTTGTAAATATTTAATTTATTCTAAAAGCTTCTTCAAGACTAGAATCAGATTTTACTCGTTATCTTTTGTGCTTAACACAGCACAGTGTTTATAACTGGAGCTCAAAATTATGTGTAGAAGAAAAAAAGAATGGAAACTGTAATTTAAATAAATAAATAATATGTTGTAAAAAGAGATGTGAAATAAATTTTTTTAAAATAAACTCTGAGAATGAAGACTAAATAAACTTAAAATTTCAGCCTGATAAGTTCCTAAGACATTCATATTATTGCGAACTATCTTGGCTTGTATATTTTTTTTACCTACTATGGAAAAGAACTGATATTAACAGGATGGACACATTTGGTGTGTTAACAATGTGTTCCACCATCAGACCAGGAGATATTAAGAATTAAAAAAAGAGTTGTTCCCATTTAAATATGCAAATATTACATAGTTCATTTGAATATTAACACCTTTTCAAAAATAATATATATTTAAGGACAGAAAAAAGCAGATGAAAGACTTTACTCCACTTGGTTTTCTAGACTCTAGAGCAGCCGTGGCCAAACTACGGCCCGTGGGCCGGATTTGGCCCGTTTGAAATGAATAAAACTATTGAAAAAAAGACCGTACCCTTTTATGTAATGATGTTTACTTTGAATTTATATTAGTTCACACAAACACTCCATCCATGCTTTTGTTCCGGCCCTCCGGTCCAGTTTAAGAACCCATTGTGGCCTTCGAGTCAAAGAGTTTGCCCACCCCTGCTCTAGAGCATTATTTAGCTGACAATTCTGAGTCTCTTTAAAAAAAATTAAAGGTTACTTGAACTCAAACACTGCCATACCACTACAGTCTGATAACCAAGAAGGCTACTAAATGGCTAATGGGCGGGTGGTATATACTGTGTGTTTACCCTGGATAAAGGGAGGATTAACGTCCTAGCAAGACAACAAGAGGTTCTATCTCACTACACACTATTCACACTAAACAAGAGTTTTAAACAAAGCAAAATTTAAAACTTACAAACTGTAAAAAACAAAATAAAAAAACTTACAAATAGTTTATTTCTGGAATTTTACATGTAATATTTTCGCACTGCAAATGCCCATCGGCAACTGAAACTGAGTAAAATGAATAGATAATAGATAAAGTGAATAGACTATTGTACTTATATTCAAATTATTTAAGCATTCAAATCTAACAGTAAAATTGGCAGCATTAGTTTCTTTCCACAGGAAAAAAAAAAGAAGAAAACCAGTCAGGGCATTGGCTTGATTTTCTTTTAAGATATATTTTAGACGTATGACTGAAATAAAGCCGCACTCTTACAAACAGCGTTAGGGGATCACTTGTTAGACTGAAATCATGGCAAAAGGACAGGTTAAAAAACATCACTATTTTTAACCTTTCACAGTAAAATTATAAATATTGTTTATTCATGATTAATTCAGTAATTCTGTATTTTCTTAAATATTTGTTTAAATTTTTTCAATGATTTATTGTTAAGAGAATGTCTAGTTTGTTCACTGCTAAATACCCTGAAGCCCAAAGTTAAATAAGCTTCTTTGTGCTTCTGATGATTTACTTCCCTGAAAGGAATCCCTACTTGGCCAAGACCGCCTGGTCCTGCAGGGCCGGAAGCTAATGTGGGCATGGAGCTGCTCTCTTCTCAGATTCAGTCAGATGTGTAGGCTGTGTCAATTCCACCGGTGGAACACTGTCCCTTAGCAGCTAAGACTCCAACTGCACATTCAAAGCTAAACAGAGGAAACTGTCAATAATTTATCTGAGACAGATATAAAAACACTTTATTATGACATATAGTTACTTTTATTTCTGTGCTTTTGCTTGTCTTACTTAAGCATCCTGAGTTCAATGGGTAACTTTTGATGAGAAAAATCAATCTTGAGTAAGTTATTCGAAGGATGTTAAAAAGAGCTTAAGACAAGCATTTTAAAATGGAAAAAGAAATATTCAATATAATGTAAATATACTCCATTATTTAGCTCTGTTCTAAATAAAAAGGTTACTATTAGTTATAATAGAAAGTATTGCAATGAAATGATTTGGAAAATAAGACTTGTCCTGGTGAAGGCATTATTTAATTAAATAAATTGCAGTATAATAAGTTACTCTTGAGGGTTATTTTTGAGAGTATTTGCCTTTGACCATTATACTTGTATGTATAGTTAAACACAAAATTTGATTTATTCATAAATACAACACAGCATGTTCTTTGTTTATAGCATGGAGAGCTTTAACTTCAGAATATGAGTTATGGGGTTCAGAGCGTTTCTAGAAGTTTAATATACCAGCCTTCAATCTGAGTTTTATCTAAAGTGCTACAAGGAAATTATCTTTTAACATCTGTGAATTTAATTTCATTTCTACCGCTCATATGGTGAGAGTTAAGTATTAAAATCTCTCCAACTTCAGATAAATTTCTCCATCAGAAAAGGAAATCATGATATAGTTTTACAAGTCTAAGGAAAAACATGCATTTTGTATATGAACAATTAATGTATATACTTCACCAGGGAATTTATGTGGCTAATATTAGGAGAACTTTTGAAGTATCTATCTTTGAATCACAATTATTTGTTAGGGTTTGCAGTTGGGTAAATGAACAACTTGCTTTGAGTACTCTGAGGAAGTGTGACTATTTCCTATATGGGAGGCATTTGGAGACTCAAAAGAGAACTGATGTTTCATTTTTTTTTTTTAATGTTAACAAATCTGGGAATGATATCTCAGATTGGAGCCAGACCATATGTGCAGGAAAATGTATGTCCCCTGTAGAAACACAGACATCGATGTAGCTGGGTAGCTGGTCTCCAAGTACCTCAAGTGAAGGGACAACTATGCTTAATGTCTATACATCTCCAATTAGATGCAAATCCAATGAAATACAGCTTACAGTGAAATGCAGTATCCAAACCCAGTAAAATGCAGCACCTACCCTGAAGGACTTTTAAGGAGAAAGTTGTTGGAGAAAAAACAAAGAAGAGGCCATTGAACTTGCAGTTATAAGCAATTTTATGATTTGGGGGGAGAGCAATTTTAGAAATATGACATGGAAAACAGGTTGTGGGTTGTTAAAATGTGATTACAGAGTAAAAAATAAAAAACAGTAATCTATTCATTCGTATTTTCTGTTTAGTGATGGCTTGGAGACTAAGTATAAAGCAGTATTACAATATGACTTTTAAGGATGAAGAGACTGCAAAAAGTAAAGTAGGGAGACTGAAAACTGAAGTGTTGATAGAAGAGGATGGGATTGGGGAGAGTTGGGGTCACTGATGGGGAAATGTTCCAGAAGAGCTTTAGGAATTGGAAGTGGGAACACAAGGAATGATATTAGATTTCTAATATTTCCAGATATTTGGGGGGAACATTATCCTATGTTAGTGCATATGCACCATTTCTTAACAGTTATTTATAGATTGAAGTATAAAACTAACACACCAGTTAGTTGTTAAGTAGTCCACGAGCTCTGAAATATTTTCCAATGAAGTATATCTAATCTTTCAAAATCGTATTAAATGAAAGGACACAGAAAAAAATTTTTAAATGAAGATGGGGGAAGGCAAATTTACTTTATCCTTTCCTGCAGAAGGCTGGCACATTTGTATGGCACTGAATCAGTTGTTATCAGGGCAGTAAAATAGGTTATTACAGCTACAGTGAGGCATCTATATATATAAAAGCCTAAGTGACCATTATGACCTGTTGATCGGTCGCTATGATGTGCACTGACCACCAGGGGGAAGATGCTCAACGCAGGAGCTGCCCCCTGGTGGTCAGTGCGCTCCCACAGCAGGAGCGCCACTCATCTCGCCAATGGGCACCAGACGCTGGTCTCATGGCTGGCGAGTGTAGCTGCAGCAGCATGAGCCTCTCCCCAGCATGAGTGGGAGCAATGCAATGTCCAATCTGGGCTTGGGCTCTTCCCCAGCCGCCTGCCACTTGGCGTGGGCCTGCAGGGATTGGGCCGAAACCAGCAGTCCAACATCCCTCAAGGGGTCCCAGATTTTGAGAGAGTGCAGGCCAGGCTGAGGGGCCCCACCAGTGCACGAATCTGTGCACTGGGCCTCTAGTTGTTATTATAATTGAGTGGATCTCATGTGTAGTTTGTCTTTCCCAGGGAAATTAAAAATGTACAGTTTCTGTAGTGAATAAGAACTCTACCATCAGCAGGACATTCTGTAGCCTCTATATTTTGTGGTTTGCTTGTTTGTTTCAGCACCTAATGTGGCTCCTTCAGATGTAGGAGGTGGAGGAGGAAGCAACAGGGAGCTGACCATCACATGGGCGGTGAGTCTTAACCAGTTGTACTTATTACAGGCTGCTTTCCCTGGACTTAGTCTCAAACCCATTTTGTTTCCTAAAATAAATTGAAATAAAAAACAATGCCCAAAGCACAAGCAAAGTAAATTACTAAAATTTCATTTTCTTAAATACATGTGAGATCTTACCTGGCTTACTATGGCTTAGTGTGCAGAAATAGATTCTTGATGCTGAGGGAACTATTGGCCAAAACATTTAACCAACTTTCAACTATCTGATTCCAGACTTTTTTTTTTTTAACTCATTGTTACCTGGTAACCCAACTGTAAATGATAGCAGTTTCCCTGGACATTCAAAACTCCAAAGATTTGGTTAATAAAAAGTTTTTATTTTTGTAATTGGAGTTTGTTTCCCACTTGAGACATACTTTGGTCACTAAGTGCAATCAATCATGATAGATCAGTCTCAGAAGTCTCCCAAGTGTGTTTTATTGAGGTATCAAAAACGCTGTATTGAGTTTTTATAACCCAAAGGGAAGTTCCACCTCAGAGATGATAATGTCTGAAAAACAATGCGTCTTGGCTGGAATTTTGAAGTGAGAGAGATGCAGGGGTGGGGAAGCATCACCTTGTGTGACATAGACATCTGACGTGTATCTACCTACCATATGTTATCTAGCTCCGTGTGTTCATTAAATATTTTCAGGATTTAATCACTGCAGATAGTAAAATGATACAACCTAAGCTCTAAAGAATTTCAAAAACCGCATGAACAATGGCAGGTATTATTCTTTCCATCAATCAAATTGATTTATATAAAAGTAGGTATTTAGCAAAAATTGACTTTACTCTTTGTTATGTAGTCAGGTTTTATACTTGGCACTTAAATCACATTTTTAAGGAAGATTTAGAAAAAAAATGCTTTTTGCTTGTCCAAATCTCAAATTATTTATAAGTAAATTTTAGCGTCCATGTAACATACAAAAGTGCAGAAAATTTTAAAAAATTAAGAACATCTTACTTTTTTTTATAAGGCTTGATGTTCTTGGATATCAGCTTTAGGATAAGATGGGGATTTCATAAAAAAAAAAAAGAATCAGAATTAGAAATCCTATTCTAAAAATTTGAAATAAAATTTCTAGGAATAAGGCCTGAAAATCATTAATTTTTTAAATATGTTTTTATTGATTTTAGAGAGAGGGACACAGTGATAGAAACATTGAAGAGAGAGAAATATCAATTGTCTGCCTCCTACAACACCCTACTGAGGATCGAGCCTGAAATCCAGGCATGGGTCCTGACAGAGAGTCTAACTAGTGACCTCTTGATTCATGGGTCAATGCTCGAACACTGAGCTACACTGGCTGGAAGTTTTGAAAGCTCCGTAGGCGATCTGCTATACTTTTAATTACATAAACAAAGTAGAGAACTAGCAATACAAAAATTTAAACTGTTTTGGTAATGTTAGGCTATACCGGATATACTCTAATAATCTAAAATCACATTTTCTATATTCTTGGGTCATGTTTCAGGATGTCTATAAGTAACTCCTGAGCAACATGGCTTTGAACTGCCCACGTCCACTGGTGTGCACAGTTTTTCAATGAATACTGTGAATATATTTTTTCTTCCTTATGATTTTCTTAATAACAGTTCCCTAGCTTACTTTTTTAAGAATCCAATATAAAACATTCACAATATGTATGAATCAATAGTTTGTTATTGGTAGGATTTCCAGTCAACAGTGGCTATTCGTAGTTAAGATTTTGGGGAGTCAGAAGTTACATGCATATATTTTACTGAACCAGAGGGTCAGCACCTCTGGCCCCCATGTTGTTCAAGGGTCAACTGTATACTGTACAGCCAGGTACAACTTCTTCTCCCCTTTGAACTTTTTACATTTTTATGTATTCATGTTAAGCATAGGTATATTCAAGCAGCTATGTTACATTTAAGAATTTTCCTTGAGACATTTGAAGTTGGATTTTCTGATTAAAAAAAAATTATAAATATGCAATTTGCACATTTCCCTTATTGGCTAAAGATGACTAAATTATTAGTATTCTCTAGAATTAGCAATAAGCCAGTGTTTACAAATAATGAACTGGCAGCGTTAACACAGACTTCTTTATTGGGAAATTGAAGAAACTCAGAGAATAATGTAAAACAGAACACTTACTTCAGCACTGGAGCCATACAGTCCCAAAGCCAGCCTCCTACCGATGAGTGCAATGTTAGCCCTTCCTCCTTTTGCCTTCTGTTTTTCCTCTGGCCAGTTTCTATTGTTTGATTAGAAGACAGATATTCCAGAGTTCCATTACTGTCTTTCAACTCTAAAATTAATTTATTCATTCATTGAATAAATACTACTTGAGGTTTAGATCTAGGCACAATGGATAGAGAGGTAATCAAACTGACAAAAGCTTTGCCCTCTTAAAAGTAGATAATAAGTAAAATACATGGCGTATATCATGATAGAGTTAAAGAGAAAAAAATAGAGCACAGAAGTGAGTTATGGAGGATTATAGAAAGAGCGTGGAAATGGCCAATCCTCTGGCCAGGGAAACAAGTAAGTGAATTTTACCTCAAGGAAGTGAGGGAGGGGCTCTTCTGACATATGCAAGAGCATCCTTGGTACAAGGTAGAAGGAACTAAAAGTACAAAGGCCCGGAGGGGGACACCCGTCCCCCCCCCCCCCCCAAGGAATGTTCCAAGAATTGCAGACTTGGAAAGTGAAGTCATCAGATGTTTTAGCCTAGAATTTTCAGGCAGCCCTAACTTATAAACTAAGAATATGTTTTTTACAAAAAGCATGCTTCCATGTGTATCATTATTATTCTTATTATTGGTATAGGATTTTTTCCTTTTGTTAAATGTATTGCTTAAACCTATTTAATATTTCAAATTCTATTTAGCCTTTGTCAAGAGAATACCACTATGGCAACAATTTCGGTTACGTAGTGGCATTTAAGCCATTTGATGGGGAAGAATGGAAAAAAGTCACGGTTACTAATCCAGATATTGGACGATATGTCCATAAAGATGAGACCATGCGGCCTTTCACTGCATTTCAAGTCAAAGTCAAGGCCTTCAACAATAAAGGAGATGGACCATACAGCCTCATAGCCGTCATTAATTCAGCGCAAGACGGTAGGTAAAAAATAAGACCTTACTAACTCGACAAGGAGAGGGGGAGGAGCCTAGTTCTCTGGTAGGCATTTCATTTGCTGTCTTTTGGACCTTACTGATTAGGAGAGTTTTATGACACTATACATGTAGTGAATGAGTATTATTTTGAGCCAAATTAAAATGTGAATCTCTCCCCATCAATGACAAGAAAGTTGCAAAATCTTTTTTTCATTTTTTTATCATGTTTATGGTAGTTAGGATATCTCCATCAAAATAGCTGGCTTAGACCCCTGTTCCTGGCCCTCTGATTATAATTTTACAATCAGAAATTCTCCATACTTGATTGGAAATTTAGTATGTCTATGCATTCATGAGATTTCCTATTTAGAAATTTCTTAACATTTTTTGGTAAAAAGTTCCCCCTTTTAAACAAATCTGTACAATTGCAACATTTATATAAGTTTGTGTTATTACAGTAGAGTGCTAGAATTTTAATAAAGGGAACCTATGCATAAATCTATGCTAAAGAAGTCAGAACGCCAGTTGAAATTTTTTTCTTGAACTGATAAAAAATTTAGAAGTCTATTTAGAGATAAAAATACAAATACTGTCACTAATTGGTATGTATTGAAATCATCTCATGATTTTTACTTCCAATGCAAACATGTAAGGCAATCATATATGTATGTATGTGTGACTGTATAAACACATGTACTTCTTTCAGTTAGTTAACTAAATACATAGAATGAACAAAAAGCAGAAATTATTTAACTTTATAATCAATTCAGGACTTCTTAGTCCTGAGTAAGAACTTACATTCTCTAGGCTTGTTCTGACTCAGCAGAAATATAATGGCACAATGTTAATAGTTTAAGCAGCATGAGTACATCTCACAGAGAAAAAAGAAGTAGAAAGCATTTTTACAAGTTATGTTCCCACCCAACATCAATTTTTTATTGCTTTATTTGATGTTAAAGTAATCGGGCAAAAACCCATTCCTGTCATCTCTTTAGTCATGGCTATCCGTATAAAATATATTTCTCTCCTAAATGTTTCACAAGTCTCATAAAACCTGCATGCGTCGCAACTTGTACGTGTTCATCGTTTTATTGTTTTTTACTACTAAGAAATTAATCACAGTACCACATATTTATCTTGGTTTGGAAAGTGAACAGTGTTCTTATGCAGGACATTTTTAACATAAAAGAGGATTATGCTTTGTTAATAAAAGACAATAAAAATTGATCACTCCTGCTTAAAGCTTTCCTTAGTTTCTTTGTGTACATTTCATAAGGGTTGTCAATTACTTTTTTCCTCTTTATTGAACAGAGGCTGATTTGATACATATTTGACTTGATGCCCAGAGAAAAGATTAGGTTTACAAAAGTTCCCCGAGCCCATGAAGCAGTGGATGTCACAACTTGTTGAAAGGATCTAAAAAATAGCTGAAACATAAAAGAGAAAGAGGGCAGTATTGCTGTGTGTCTTTAGCTCATATAAATAGAAAGTATGAGAAAGCTGAAAATTAATTATAATGAACACCAAATTTCCTGTTTTTGATCATGTAGAGTTAATAAGCTAAAAATAATGAATTTCAATTTGCATCCACAGGCTTTCTTAAGCAGGTTACTTGGAAAAAACTTTTAAAAAATAGTGTTGTTCTTGCTCACAGATATCAGAGAAATCCATGAAGCTTTTATTTTATAAAAGTGTCTGTGCATGTGTATTTGTATGTGTATATGTATGTTTACATTCACATTTGTATATATGAATAAAATTTGTATATATGATAAAAGAAGTAGAAAGCATTTTTACAAAATTTGTATATATGGATATCTGTGTGCATGTGTCACCGATGACCATAAAATAAACATTAGAAAAACAGAGAAAGAGGTAAAGAAATTATTGGAACTATTTTATTTTGGAAATATTAAACCTATTTAAAATATTAAAATGTATATGGCGCTATATGAACTTTATAATATAGACATCTTTTATATGAATATAATATTTTCATCAAATTTCAGCTCCCAGTGAGGCCCCAACAGGAGTAGGCGTAAAAGTCCTATCATCTTCTGAGATATCTGTTCATTGGGAGCACGTTGTAGATAAAATAGTGGAAAGCTATCAGGTGAGTTCCGTTTTTATCAAGCTAAATGAATATATCGACGTTTCATCCTTCAATGTTTTGTGTCCCATTGATGTACATGGCAACTACCACTAAACTTCTTGTGTTTAATATGTTGGGCATTTATAAACTAATTGCTAGTAGTAAAGCAGAGGTTCCTATCTAGGAGAGATGTAGAGTCCTACGTGTTGACAAACAATTAGCCAAAATAAAATCTAAGATAATAGCATCCATGGTTAAGGCAAACATTCTCATAAAAGCAAATTTTAAGTATTTTGGAAAACATTTTGGTAATTCATAAAAGCATCCTTAAATTCTTCATCCTGTTTGGCTCAGTAGTTCTACTTCTAAAGGAAAGAATTATAGAATACCCACTAGGTGTCTCATATGTGACCTATGAAACAGAAAATTGGTAACACGCAAAATGTCCTAAAGAAAACTTCCCTTGAACTGATCTTGAAGGACTAATAGGTATTAGCCAGATAGAAAGGTAACTTGTTTTAGTCAAAGGGAGTAAAACCTGAAAAAAATTGAAGCTACAATGATAGTTGGGGTCTTTGATATAGAACTAAAAATTAGACTTGTTGTGTAAGAAAAGTGAAGTCATCTCACATTTTTAAGCATAGTGAAAATTAAGAAAAGATTGGCATCATCTTACCTTTGCAAATGAGCAAATGGATGCTAAAGAAATTCAATGACTTGCCTCAGCACTGATGAAAAGCCTCAGAGCAGGGTCTAAACTCAGATTATCTGATTCAGAGTTCAAGGCTTTATGCCAAACGACAGACTTTTTTATGTTATACTCAGTGCCCTCTTGAGCTGCAGGCAGTAAGCTGCACACACCCCCCCCCCCCCCGGCTTGCCCTCGACAGCTTGTCCTCTCAATTCTTGTTCTCCCCTTCTTCATCTGTCCATGGAATATTTGTTTCATGAGGGCAGGCTTTTGTCTATTTTGTTCTTAGTGCCAGAACAGTGCTGGGCACATGGTAGGCACTAAATAAATATTCTCTGCGTGTTAACATAGATACTGAAGCATGATCAAATAAAGTGTTATAACCTGGCTTTCTCAAAGCCATGATTCTGAAAGGTAACCACAGAACCCACCCACATTTTTAGTTATGAACTCACAAACTGACAGAAAGGTTTTTTTCTTTTTCTTTGTTGGTACTCTAGGTTATGATTTGAGGCTATCTCAACATATCTTTAGTTAATCTTCTAAAGAGTTCAGCTGAAGTTTAGAGAGTAAAATGAGGCACAGACTGAGAAGACCCAATATTCATAACTTATTAAGCTGACAAATAGATTTACAGCTATTAGAAAAGAAATGGGGGAGAGAAATTCACCAGATGTTACAAGCCCTTATAATAATCAAGTCCAAGGTATCTTGAGAGAAGACATCAATATTTGGCGTTTGAATGCTATTTTGGACCATAGGATTTTTTTTCTTCATTTATATTACTACTAGAGGTCTGGTGCACGAAATTCGTGCACTGGGGGGGAGGGGTCCCTCAGCCTGGCCTGCACCCTCTCGCAGGCCGGGACCTCTCAGGGGATGTCTGCCTGCCAGCTTAAGCCCACTCCCTGTTGGGATCGGGCCTAAGTTGGCAGTCCAGGACACCTCACACCTTACCTCCTGCCTGCTCACTGCTCCTTACTGCTCGGCGGCGGGAGAGGCTCCTGCCACCACCACTGTGCTCACCAGCCACGAGTCCAGCTTCTGGTTGAGTGGTGCTCCCCCTGTGGAAGCACACTGACCACCAGGGGCCAGCTCCTGGTCATTCTGGTCATTTAGTGTAACGGTCCCTTAGGCTTTTATTATATAGATTCCCTCCTAAGTGATAAAAAAAGAGAAAAAAATGTTATTTAATATATAACTCACTCATTTAGTCAAAGTGCTAAATGTATATTTTACTTTGTTAAAAACATGCCAGATGATTATATATTGTCTTTGCCTAATAATTATATATTGACTGTTTTATAACTTCCAACAGGCAGAGTATAAACTAAATATGAGGTTGGAAGCAATACAATGGCATCAATGAATGCAGACAATAATCAGAATATAAACTTTTTAATTGGGAAATAAATATCAGTTAGGGTTCTTTCCTTTTGCATTGCCAAAATGCCCCATGGAATTTTGGATGCGATGGCAGAAATATTTTATCACTCATTTAAGTGCATAGTATTCATTAGAAATGGCTTTTGTTATATTAATCTAGTTTAAAAGCTCCTCCTCTTAAACTGGATAGAAAAAAAAATGTTACCATGGAATGAAGACTTCAAAATGTGGTAAACGTTCAGTCAGCAAGCATGCATGTAAAAATGGATGCACCCCAGGGATTTCAGTTTTGTTTGCTGCAAAACAGAGTGAACACTGCCATCCTAGGTTTATTGAGGAGATTTTGTAGGTGGATGAGCCTATGCAGTACCTGGCGTTTTATTAGAAATGTAAATGTTCATTTATTTCTTCGTCAGGCAGTGGAAGAAGCCTATGTATCACCTCGTTCAAATGTCCACTAAAATGTAGGCTGTCTTCCTCCTCCTCAGATGAGTGTAGTCCCTGCCTGAGCACTTCCGGCCCCAGGAAAGGCATGCCTTCTCCGGGGGGCCCCTCCTGAGGAAGCCTTTTCTCTGCCAGCCAAGTTGTGCCTCTGGAGTCACTAGGTGCAATTCCAGTCCTCGGCCCTGGCCATCCTCTTGGTCAGGTGATGGAAATGCCAAAGAGCTTCTATCAAAATACTGTGATCAGAAAATAATATTGTAAACAAAATAAAAAGACTGCAAAGAAACCAATAAGCAATTGGTAGCTAGCCTTTGTTCTGAAGTGTTCATTCTACACATAAACCTCACTTTGTTACCAGGTGAATTTGAGCATCCAGTTCCATTTTGTAGTGGTTTCATATGTTTTATGTAAAGGAAAAGCTCAGGATTATATAAATGTTAGATATTATTTGTAAGTCACTTTGCTTAATTTTGAAATTAAAATGCCATTGTTTTATAGACAGGGCATTGAAAATCTGTCAAATACTAGTATACTTATAAATGACTTTTCCTTTTACTTATAACTTAGATATAATTATAGATTTCTGACCAAGGAAACATCTTGTTTGAAGAATGAAAATTATAATGAAAATTAAAATTATAATGAAAACTTACTTTTACTTAAACTTTAAGAGACAAGGAAGGTTGTCATTGATACTTTGGTTGGTAAAAGTAATCATTTCTAATCACACCATGGATAGAATTTTTAAAAAATTATTTTAAAGGTAAATAACCTCTACATCTATTCAAGTTGTTAAGTGTAATATTTCTTTCCTATCTGGCATCTATGCAGGTTCAAAGTAAATAATATACTCCTGCTACTGAAATGAGATAGCAGGAAGTTATATCTCTGGTGTGTTCTAGGCTACATGATGATTATTTTTGTCAAAAAAGTTTGTGTTACTGTCAAACTGCTTTATCAATGGCTCATAACAAATTTGAAGTCATGTGAACAGAAATAAAACAGGAAATAGATAAAAATTATTGTGGCAAATGCCTCCACAGAAAGATTTGACATTTTGAAGGTAAACCTTATGCAGATATTGTTGTGGGTTTTGTTTTTGTCATTGTAGGACTATTTAAAGCAATCATATGAGCTTTTGATTTGTCTTTGACAAGTTTAATCATCTGCATTGTAAGCCTTGCTATGGTCTAAGACTGCTAGAAATGTAAATAGCACTAAGAAATATTTGACAATATAATGGTTGGCATCAATAGTGACAGAGTCGGCTGAAAAGAACTTTTCACAATTTAAGTGTCTGCATCGTGATAAACTGTTACTCAACTTGAATGTTTGCAGATTCGGTACTGGTCAGCTCATGACAAAGAAGCAGCTGCACACAGAGTTCAAGTCAACAGCCAAGAGTACTCGGCCAGGCTGGAGAACCTCCTGCCGGACACCCAGTACTCTGTGGACGTCAGGGCGTGCAATAGTGCCGGGTGTGGGCCTCCCAGTGAGATGATTGAGACCTTCACCAAGAAAGCACGTGAGTCTGAACATTTGCATTTCAGACTTGTCAAAAACTAGCAATCGGTTCCATCACGATGAAAGTACATTTGAGAGAAATTTATTACCTAGCAGTCTTAGCACATTTGATTTTCTTTTTTCCTTAAAATCACACACAAAAATTTAAAGAAACATGGATAGTTAATGTCAATGATGAAAAAATATGGGGAATGCCTTTAAACATTAATGTTCCATTTCAGAAATAAAATTACAGAACCTCCCTTTGAAACAATGCCCCTCAAAATGTTCCACCATTAGATAACTGATTTTTATTCATTGTTATTTCAAACTTTCTTTTCATAGAAATACATCGACAGCATGAAAAAAATTAAATTCTGCTTCTTTTTTCTTCTTTGTGTTGACTTACGAACGTTCATCATTGCTGAGTACAATGCTGTAGCACTACATTTACTCCCTTATCACCACATGCTCTCATTGTTCATACAGCAAGATCACTGTTCAGATGATCACTGTTCAGATGATCTGGTCATTCTCATCTCCATGGCTTTACCTTGATATCTCTTGAATCAAGTTGAATATTTCAAATAGGAGAATTTCTATTCAGGGAGTTTTGCAATTAATCGAAGATGTGATTAGCATTATAGTTTTAAAAATTTATGAAGTTTACTTGAAAAAAAAGAAACTTCTAAAAGAACATGGTGGTAAGAGCCAGACTGTGGTATCACACATGGGTGTTGGATCTGTTTCTGCCACTCAGAGAAATGTGTGATGATAAGACAAATTACTTCACATCTTTAAACCTCAGTTTTCAAATTTGTGAAAGGAACATTTACTTCTTTGTTCTTTTTTCCATTTATTTATTCATCTAAAGTATGCTAAGTGCCCAGCACGGTTCTAGGTGTTGAGGATACAGAAGACATCAAACTAGTCTTATAGTCTTTTCTCATGGGATTACCAACAATTGGCAGGAGAGAGTAAAACAAAACAAAAATAAAACTAAATCTATGACAAATAAATATGATAATATCAGATGATAGGACAATAAAGTGGATAAACAGATGATAAAATTGAAACTGATTTTGGCAAGAACCAAATTCCCATTGGGTGGTCAGGAGTGGCCTCTTTGAGAGATACCATTGGTGCTTGGATATGAGTAATAATAAGGACCCACTATGTGAATACTGGGGCTGCGGGAGGTGAGAGGTTGTTTCAGGTAGCGAAAATAATGAGTGCAAAGCCTTTAGGCAGAAAGAGTTTGATATGTTTTAAGTCTAGAAAGGCCAATGGGGCCAGGATATAAGTTCTGAGGTGAGAAGGGGAAGTATGTTGGCATCAAATAATGAATGGCCTTGTAGGTCATAGTGAAGAGTTTGAGTTATTCCTAAGTATAAGAAGCCACTGGAAGAATTTAAAGTTGAGAGTAATACCTAATTAACATATTTGGAAGAAATCATTCTGGGTTCTAGATGGACAGTAGGTAGTGATGAATAAGAGTGTAAGCAGAATAGCCAATCAGGGCATTACTTTAGTAGTCAAGGAAAGAAATGGTGGTGGTCAGAACTAAGTAATCACAGGGAGAAATAGAACATTTTCTGCAGGCAGCATTGACATCTTGCTGCTTGTTTGGATGTTGACAATGAATGGAATGAAAAACTGAATAACTAGATTTTTGTTTGAGAAACTGGGGATTTAATTGTGAAAGACTTCTAGAGAGGCACATCTGGGGGTACATTACAGATATCCCATCTTGATTTTATTACATTTGAGAAGACTTTGAAACATTAAAGTAGAGATCTTCAGTTGCACATGTATGTTTAGAGCTTATGACAAAGATTAGAGATAGAATTGTGAGTACATGCAGCTATGGTCCCAGGTGTAAGAAGTAGGGAAGATACATAGAGGAGAGAAGGGTGCTCAGGATCAGGTCCTGTGTCATTCCAACATGTAAAAATTGAGCAGAGAATGTGGAGCCAGCAAAGCTTGGTGATGAAAAAGAGCAGCCAGAGAGGTGGAGGCAGAAATAGACTTTAAAGGATCATGAATTAAGAAAAAAATTAAATTCCAGAAGGAATCAGAAGACCAATTATGTGAAATGCTTCAAAAATATTAAATTAAAAAAAGAATTAAAAAAGTGCCATTAAAATTGGCCCCGTTGTCATAATTGATAACCTTGAGAGCAGCAGTTTCATAAGATTGGTTCAAAAAGAAACTCGAGTGAAGGATGATGAGAGGATGACAAAAGTTATATTATCTACCTCACAGGACCATGGGTTATAAAGTGCTTAGCATAGTGCCTGCCATATAGGAAGCAATCATCAAAATTAGCTGTTGCTGTTGTCACATTATTAGCATCAGCATAATTCCTGACACAATGCAGCTTGCAGAACTAAAGCTGGAAGTGTGATGGTCAATTGCATATTATTACTTTTCACAGCTCCAAGCCAGCCGCCAAGAATCATCAGTTCTATAAGGTCTGGTTCACGGTACATAATCACCTGGGATCATGTGGTCGCACTATCAAATGAATCTACAGTGACAGGATATAAGGTAGATAAAAGATTACTCGAGTATTCCCTCCACAAGCTTCAGTCTTACAAAGGGGACTGGTGTTTGGACTTTTTGCTGTTTCTGCAAAATCCATTCAGTTTTCCCATTCTAGCTGTGTAACAGTATCAGATGACACAGTGCTATGATAAATTTTGAAATGAGAAAAGGTTTTCAGTGCAGTATAAGAAAATGATGCATCAAGTGAGCCAGATAAAATAACTGCTTTAAAGTTGTTAGAATAATCATGCCTGAAGAACAGAGACATAAATAATCCACTTTTGTTCCACAATGATTAAGATAGAGTTTCCCAGCACACAGCGAACTCTTTGATGTATTGAGTTGCCATCTATAAATGAACAAAAGAGAAAAATATTATTTCTGTACATTCTCTATATCACACCTCTCGCATTTTTCGTTGTATACTAAATGTTAGAAATATTGTGAAAAACGTTTTAAATTGTAAAGCAATTTTTTGGACTACTTCAATTTATTGAAAGAGCCCTCTTTTTGTACTACTTCCTTTAAAAAATACATTCTTCACAATCTTTATTTTAAGTCATCTAAAAAAAATTCACATTCTCTTGGATAATCCTAAAATATAGGTGAAATTGATTTATGTGAATGCAAAATAACATTAATTTTCCAGAAACTATTACATATAGCTACCCTAGGACTAATTTTATTAATAAAAGTGTAAGAATATTCTGTTTAGGGCATTCACTCATTGGTACCACTTTATTAATTTTACATATTTTGGGACTTCTTAAGGTACTCTATAGACCTGATGGCCAGCATGATGGCAAACTGTATTCAACTCATAAACACTCCATAGAAGTTCCAATCCCTCGGGATGGAGAATATGTTGTGGAAGTGCGTGCACACAGTGATGGAGGAGATGGAGTGGTGTCTCAAGTCAAAATTTCAGGTAAGCCAGTCATTTAAGACCCATTTCATTTGGGTACTTGTAATTTTCTAGGCTACATGGATTCCCAAGAGTAAAGGTAGGACTGATATTCACATGAATATGAGTGATTTGAAATGTCAAGGATGCCCTGAAGCTTGACATTTCTTTCCTTCCGAGTCACAAAAGTAAATTTGCAATATACCACATACTTGTTGATTATTATCTGGGTGTTAAAGCATAATTAAAATACTATAATGTATTAAAATGAGACAAAATACTAGGGCAATAGATAATAATGAACAAACTTCTCTTATATCAAAAGGAAATTCACTGGACTATTGTTAATATTCTTCTAACCTCCTTTTTCTTGTCTTGCACATATCAATATAGTAGTAAAGTAAAAAGATAGTAAATCATGATTCCTTTATCATCTCTCTGTCTGCATATCTATTCTTTCTCTGAAAAAAATATTTTTCTCAGAGCAATAGTTAATTCAAAATACATATTTGAGTCAGTGATTTCTTCCCTTTTTAGGATTTGTAGAACTCTATTATTTGTTTAAATTTTAATACTTTTTCTCACCCTGGATGGATAATGTAGCTTAATTACACAGAATAAAAACTGATGTTAATTTGAAAATGTTATGAGAAACTGAAATACAAGAATAACTAACTTCAAAAAAAGTTGATTTGGAATGTCATGATTTATATCTAAATAATGAATATTTGCATATTAAACTAATAAAACATCCTTTAATACAATGCCATACTTTTTAGTCTGACCATAATTGCATAAAGAAACTGTAGAATTAACATTAGGAAATACTAGATATTTGGTGAATGGTACCATTCTAGAATTTTTAATAATTTGGATTTACTTGTAAATTGTTTAAATCATCTTATAGTGAGAAAAGCATGGAAATACAAATGGAAATTTTAGATTTTCTTGTAAATTTAAAAAATTTACATTGAAACTTTTTTAGTTTAAATATCATGTCATTTTAGAAAATTTGGAAATTACAAAAATACATTGCTAGGTTAATGTTCACATGAGTTATGCTGTCCATTCATTCATTCAACAAATATTCATTTACTAGAGGCCCAGTGCGCAAAATCATGCGAGACCCAGACCCCCACCGCACCGCGAGACCTATCAATGCACCTCCTGATGACCGGTTGTTTGGTCATTATGTTGTTACGGCATTACTGCCACCGGCTTTTTATAATATAGATTGCCCACAATGCATAGGCACAGTTTACATACGTAAAATGTGCTACCACTTATGTATTTACACATTCCTTTGAGTCCAGATTACAATCATCCCCACTGGCCCAACTGCAATTTTAAAATTTTTCTGGGCTTCTTATTTTGTCTTCCTTTAGTCCATTCTCTATGCAGCAGCTGGGGGGAGTCAAATCATGTCACTCTCCTCTCAGAAAGAAATGCTATAGAATAAATCTAAATTTCTTACTGTGACCTAGTGTGCCCTATATAATCTGGCCCCACCAAACTCTCTCACCTCAAGTAAGTGATTTTTCCCTTGCTCCATCAATCTTCTTTCTCTGCTTGAACTTTCCAACATTACTCCTACCTTGAAGCATCTGTGCTTGTTCTTGCTGCTGTCTGGAATTCTCCAGATCTTGGCGTGGCAGTCTCATTCTTGTAATGTTTGTTTGTGCTCAGATGTCATCTCCTCAGAGTAGAATTATATGGCTTTCAATGTCAGATCACCCACTACTCCATTTTTTTGTCATATTGAATCACTGTTTTATGTTCTTCATAACATTTATTACTATTTAAAATTCTCTATTCGTGTATACTTATATTGTTGCCTGTCTTGAATGAAGAAATTGTTACTTGAATGTAAGCTCCATGAGAACAAGCTCCTTTTTACTTGTTTAGCCTTTGAATCCCCAGCACCTAGGGTACATATCTGCACAGGACAGGGTTTTAACAAACAATGTTTGAGTAAACTTAGAATTTTCATAGAGTAAAATTTAGTTAAAAATAATTTGGGCAACTTAAACTCTTTTTTAGATATCTAGAATGTAGATGCACTTCCCATTAGGCTCATGATTTGTATTGTGCCATGGGCCAATCCACGAGGTTGGTTCTTACAGAGAGTAAGACGTAATGTGAGAGATATTACAGAACATTTATTGGACATGGTAATCTTTAACTCCATTCTCTCTGACCTGAGCACTGTTATCTGCTGTCTTAATAAATTATTCCCTATGACATGTTTATAGCTCACATCAAGGCATATGTAACGCTGCAAATGTTTCACCATTAGCATACTATCTCTAATAAGTTCTATATTTCCTATTAATAATCTTTTGTTTTTATATAACGTTGTGAGCCTAATTAAAAAAATGTGAAGATAGCCACAGTATTTTTATTATAAATTTTAATATACTAATTTGACTTATTACAACTTCACTACAAATTTTACAATACAGATTGGTGAGTATTCTTGGTCATAAATAAATATCCACAGAGAAACATGTACTTCAGTATTTATGTATGAATGTGCACATTTTGAGCTTTTATATTTCTTTTTAGTCTTAAACAGAGTACAGATATTTTAGTCAAATTAAGGGAGACTTTTAAGGACATTTTAGCATCTGGACTTCTTCCTAAGAGCAGGCAGTAGTCAACAGAAACCTTCAATGTAGAAAAAACATGATAAGATATTTGTACTTGAAAATCACTTTGGTGATTGTGGAAAAATATATATGTAGGGGAGTAAGATGTAAGGAGATGAATTATAAGGTTATTATCATAGAATGATTAAAGATGATGATGGTATGGCCTGGAAAGAGGGCAGTGGTGAAGTCTCGGGTGGGTTCTACAAAAGTAAGGCATCTTACCATTTGATTTAAAGTTCCTATATATTCATTTTGTTGACTTTATGTCTTCTAATAAATCTGTAATTTATCCCGGTGTTACCACAGATGATGGAGTCTAAACATTTAACCTATTATTTTTGGTAACTCCAAGCTATTAAGTTAAACTATATAACCAAAGCCACTGACTTGAACACTGATGAAAAACACATTTTGTGTTTTCCCTTTGTCCTCTTCGGCCCAGTAGCAGAAGTGGAATGGCTAGGAAACCATTTTTTAGGTGGAACCGATAGATGTTTAACATGTTCCTCTCTCCAATGCCTAAGTAGTACAGTATAAAGATAACAAGAAGGTAGTTGAAATTGTTTATTTTTAATTCCTATGTTATTAGATTAAAATGCAATATTAACATAACTAATTTGGCAAATATCTCCTCTGTAAGCATTTTCAAAAACCAAAATTGTTTTTGAGTTTCTAATATTGTACAATAGCCTATAGATAGATAGATAGATAGATAGATAGATAGATAGATAAATTAATATACATAGTAGTCTTAGATAGGAAATAACCAGACCACAAAAATGGGGAACATATATGGCATAAGTAGAACTTCACCAGCAAAAAATGATTAACACACAATTCATTACAGTGTTGCCTTGTGACTGGACAGTGGGGAGAGGGCAACCGGGAAGAAGCTTATAGGGTGATAACAATGTTATTTCTTTGCCTGGCTGGAAAGTATACAGGTAGGCTGTTGTTCTTGTTATTTTTAATTATATTTTTAAATATGCTAACTTGCATGATTTATTTCAAACTTGTAAAAGTTAAAAGGGGATTTAAAAAGTGAAGGACTAAAGAAAGGTATTGAATTTGGCATGTGAAAGGTCTATATTAGTTTGCTAGGGCTGCCATAACCAAGTACCACAGACTGGATGGTTTAAATAACTGAAATTTATTTTCTCACAATTCTGGATGCTGGAAGTCTGAGGTCAAGTTGTCGGCAGGTTTCACTTCTGTGGCCTCTCTCTCTGGCTTGTAGCTGGCCATCTTCTCTACATGTTTTCACGTGGTCTTTCCCTTGTGTATATCTATGGTGTAACTGCCCCTTCTTATAAGAACACCAGTCTTGTTGGATTAGAGCCCACCCTAATGATCTCATTTTAACTAAAGACTCTCTCTAAATCCATTCATTCTAATGTATTGGGCATTAGGGCTTCAACACATGAATTTTTGAGGGGACAAAATTCAGCTCCTTGGTAATTTAAAGAGAAAAACATCCATAAAATAGTAGCGTTAAAAGTCTTATTTCTTTAAGCAAACCTCATGGAGCTTAAATTCTAAAGGGAGGAGGCAGAATCAATTAATCATTTTTGTAATAATGTAATATTTTGTCTGATAGGGACAATATCTGAGGGTAACTGAAGAAAATGAAGCGGTAAAGCAGAGGAAGGTGTGTAGGGAGTGATGGAAAAGGACTCGGTAGGGCCCAGGTTTTCAATAAGAGCAGCAGCCAAAGCCTGCTCTGATGAGATAACAGTGGGAAAGAGAATTCAATGAAGTGAAGGAATGGTCCATGTAATTTATCTGAAAGAAGAATTATTTCTACTAGAACACATACCAGGCACATGCTTAGATGTTCAAGAAACAGCTGGGTGACCAGTGTGACTGGAAATGAGTAAGCGATGGGGAGAGTGGGTACAATGAGGCTGGAGAGGTAGATGGGACCTGAATCTTATGGTTTTTATAGGTCCTTGTTAAGGACTTTAGAGTTTTCTTTAAATGGGATGAGAAGCCATCCATCAACACAGTTTAAGGTAGGAAGTGACATGATCAGGTTTATATTTTAGAAGTCTTATTCTAGTTTTTCTTTGGAAGAAAGTAGGAATCTCATGAATGGTGAGGAGAATCTCTGAATCTCTGAAACAGGGAGGGTAGTTAGAAGACAAAAGGCTATGTGGTCACATAGAAGAAATAAGAAGTAGTTATAGTCAGAATTTATTTGGAAGATGACCCAACAATGTTTCCTGATGATTTCATAAGGGTGTGAAAAAGTATTTGGCATAACTTGAAGAATTTAGATTGTCCAACAAAATAATCTATTAAAATGGCCAACAGAATTATCTACTTTAACAGAATCATCTACTGAAAATAGATGATTGGAAAAGAAAAGTTAGG